CTACAATGACAGTATTTATTTTTAATCATTCGTTTAAGAGAGAAGCTCGATAGCGCAAGTGGTTAGCGCGTTCGGCTGCGATCGTTAAAGTTAAGCCACTTTAGCAGTGGTCGGTCATTGGATGGGTGATCAAAAATTTGCTATTTCAAGCTCCTCCGTGCTTCGGATGGTACGTTAAGCCGTAGGGCCCAGCTGCAACTGCAGTCGTTAGCACCCATCAATCCGCACTTGGCCCGCGTGGTGGGTCATGGCCCTATCTCCCTATTCCATCCATAGGGAAGGCCTGTGCCCCAGCAGTGGGGACATGTGGGGTGATAGTGGGGCGTACTCTGGTGGGGCGGGCTGTGGCGTCTATCTCCTTTCGCGGCGAAGGGTAGCCAGACAGACTGGCGCCGTAACGCGTTATGTAACGAAGCGGTTTACCCTCCCATAAGAAAACTTTTAACTAACTTAACTAATAAATTCATACATAGATAGATAATAAAAATTTAAAAATCTTCCAATGTAATAACCGAACGCTCAATAAAAGTCTTTCGAAGGTAGCTCGACAAAATTAAATAAAAAAATCAGTATTCTGACGATGATGCAGACCTGAAAAGGCTGCGAAACGTCAATAAATAAATAAAGTTTCGTGCATTAACCCCTTAAAACTAGTTTTATTTACTCCCATAAAAAGTTAAAACTTGAATAAACATAAGAATAAGTACATAAGTACACAAAAAAAGGCTCTGATTTAAAGAGGCAGTTGTAAATAGCAGTTTTGGTAAGTTAAAAATTACAAATGGCACGTTTAATAACTAGTTTGGCAGTTAAAACTAAGCAGTAAACTATGCATAAACGGGTAGTTAAAATAAAGAAGTGGATATATGAATATATAATTGAGCAGGAAAATAATTAAATGAGCGGTAAAAATAACGAGCGGTTACATGTGGGCAGTAATGAATCGGAATTTGTCAGTATGTAATCTCATTCTAAGCAAATTCTATAAACAATGAGATGGTAAAATAAAATAAAAAAACTGTACTTAAATGGAAATCCAAAATTAAATTACTTTTGCTTTGACTGAAGGAATTAAATAAAACAAATTGTATAATAATAACAGGAACTTTTATTCGTAATTCGAAACATACTTAAATAATTAAAATGACATAGAATTTGCTTAGTAGCAGCTAAAATAAACTTATTGTATAATAACAGCAGGCCACCCGCGCTAATAAGCTCCGCCCAACTAACGAATATTTAATTCTCTTTTCAATGAATTTGAGTTCGGGTGTCACCGCTCGCTATGACCGGCCAAACTATTTATCGAACATCATGCATCATTTTTACCGCTCATCCAGTTATTGGACTGCTCAATTATTTTTAGAATTGACATTGTATGATAAAATAACCGACTAATTGTTTTTTTATCACTATCCATGTTTTACTGTCGCTATAATTAATCAACCGCCATTAAATTAAATAACTGCTCAATATGTTTTTCAACTGATAATAATAACATCTTGAATATTTAAATAATAACTCAAAAAAATAGTTCTCATTGAAAAATCTTACACTGTTTTTTCGCCTAGCTCCCACCCGCCAAGTCTGTAACGTGCGATTAGTAACTTCGTCCCAAAAAAAGGCTTGCGAGTTAATAAAGATATGTTTTGCGGCTCTGTTACAAACGTATCAATAAATAAAAAAAATATACAAAAAATAAAACCAACTTCAAAATCGAAAATGGAACTAAAAAGTAAAAAAATAGTAATTAGTTCCATTTTCGATTTTGAAGTCGGTTTTTTTTTGTTTTTTTTTTTTATTTTAATCCATTTTAGTGGAAATTACATCGTTCAAGTAAACAATAACACAATTGACGGGGAAATCCGTGAACATGCATAAAAAACATCGTGCGTGCCTTTAAAATTTTAAAGTTTCCCTCGACTTCCCCGGATTCCACCATCAGATCCTGACTTCGTTCCAATGGGACCACCTCGGAAGTGCACTCTTTCGAATAAAAAAAAATTTTAGAAATCGGTCCACAATGGACGAAGAAATCGGTGTTTTTCACATAATTAAAACGTAATATCGATATATTGATTTGAGTTGTCGCATGACGTCATGTTTTCGAACAATTTTTACTAATAATTGTTGTTACGAGCCTCCACTATAAAAAAAACTATGACGCGCTTTATCTTTATAATCTACTGGTTAATTGACAAAAGAAAAAAAACGTGTGCCCGGACCACAATCTGAAGTGAAACGTCTCTTCTCTAATAACCTAACATTAGACGGTGCATAAGGCATAGGGGAATGGAGCAGAGCACGCATCACCCATCTTATTTATAAAACTAGCTGTGCCCCGCGGTGTTACCCGCGGTCTATTAGGGATATTTTCCCGCAGTAAAACGTAACCTGTATGTTAATGTCAGGGTATCAGCTAAATTCACACCAAATTTCATTAAAATCGCTCCAGCCGTTTAGACGTGAATAAGTAACAAACATACACACTCAGACACTCAGAATCTTTCGCCTTTATAATAATAATGTGATAATTGTGTCTTACAATATTAAACTTAGATTATTGATATAGCTGTGCTTGTGTTACATACCAACTAATAGTTTTACCAGCGTCTTGTCTTGCTTGCATCAAGCGCGCGTTTATTTCCTTAGCAGAGTTATTTTAGAAATGTATTTATTATACTCTTAAAAGATCTTATACTTACAATCATCAACAAATATATTTCGAAAAAGATTATTACAGGATTTTATGTTGATAAAAAAAACTCTATGGCCCATAACTCATTAATAGATACCAACTCTTAACATCTTACACACGTGATAACTTTTAAACGAAATATTCGATTGAGATGAAACAAAAAAGTATTTTACTTCTACATAAATACTCTTGATAACATAATGCTTAATTTCGATAAAGATTAATATTACGATACATATTTAACGTAGTTTTTTTTTCTTCAGACGATTTAATAATTATTTTGAACACAAAATCGGTTATTGTGATTAAACCATGGTAGCTAGTTATATCTTCTCGCGGACTTTTTTGTAGGTCTTAATGGGATCTACAAACCCGTAGTACATCATTGTGTTCTATTGTCAATAGTTTTTGCAGCGCACGCAAAAATAGGTATTGGATTTGACACCTTGTGTTACAAAATAGCAATTTTATTACGGATTCCTAATTTTGAAAAAAATAATAATATAGCCTATAGCCTTCCTCGATAAATGGACTACCCAACACTGAAAGAATCATTCAAATCGGACCAGTAGTTCCAGAGATTAGCGCGTTCAAACAAACAAACAAACTCTGCAGCTTTATAATATTAATATAGATTCTCGTGTCACAATGTTAGTTACCATACTCCTCCGAAACGGCCGGACCGATTTTTATGAAATATTATATGCATATTCCGTGGGTCTAAGAACTACTATCTATGATAATGGTTGTCCACCTGTAACGTAGTGTTCTGAAACCTACAATACGCTTTCGCGCCAAAATTCAAACTATTGGATAATGTAACGTAGTTTTCTCATATGGGTTTGGAGGAATGTTATCCCAGGAAATTGATAGAACACTACGTTACACACCCCAAAAATTTTATTGAACAATATTTATTTTTTTATAATGTGGTATTAAAAAATACATACAACCCTAAATTTTCTCTTCTACCACCTGCCCCTATTTTTGTGGCGGTACCTACAAAGTTTGCTGGGTCAGCTAGTATATATGTATATATATATATTATCGCGTGCGATGCTCGTGGCGCTCGTAGCGTTTCAGCCTTCGCCGACGGACCCTCCAACTTTCATGATCTTCGGGAGGAGCTGTACACGTATCCCACACACACACACACACACACACACACACATATATATATATACAGGGTGTTACAGAATTCCGAAATAAAATTAGTAGGTATGTATTCCGAAATAAAAATTTGTAGGTATCTGAGCAGGGCGCAGGGGCGCCTGGGGGAGAGAGGGGGTCTGTTTAGGTAGTAGTAATCGTACGCATTTATGGGGTTGTCATAGGCAGGTGTAAAACGATATTTTTATTAATTTAATTAGAAAATAAAAGTGGTCTGAAAGGCGTCAAACTTTCGTAGGTAATTATATAATATATAGGCTATACAAGAAACACAACCAAACCCTAAAATTTTATTTCGGACTTTTGTCACCTGTATAGTCGTGTGACGCCCCTGACGCATTTCCGTTTCACCTTTCCATAGAATTTTTCCATTTACCCACCGTCCGAATAGAAGTTTCACATAAAAGAATTACTATATTTTATTGTATAACCTTACAGACGGATTAAATAGAATTACGTTTTCGATTACATCACGCGCCATCATCCCTATTGTGATTTTATATAACAAATATTAGCATATATTTTTGTCGAACCTTCAACGCAGGATGAACCTCCTGGCTCTGAATTAAATACTGTCATCTTTCGCTTGTTTTTCTCATAAGTCTATCATCAATTTCCTAAATTGTGTCAACGACCTATGATTTTCCACTATTACATAACAACAACATAATTATATGTCACTCTGACTAGGTTTTTAATTTAAACTTGTTCAAACATGGTGCACATTATCAATGTTTTGACGCATAAAATTATATAGACAATTAAGAATCTTGGTTTTAGACGCAACTTCATCCGCATGAACTACAGAATACGCAAACTGCAATATGAGGAAAATTGCTTGAAATTTATCAATAAGTTCTGTAATCCACTCTTTTATTTCTGAAACTGTTTTGAACATTGTAAATAAATCAAAACGTGTGCCTACTTAATCATCTTAATGATTGCAAATCAAAAGTTTTTCTTGTCTCTAATCAAACACTATAAAACATCGACATTCTTTATTATTATCGATATTTTATAAGCAGCTATCATAACAGCCTTTGTCTTTCCAAAAGCTGCGGAATAGTCTGGAAACTGCGTATTTTGATCCGCTCATTTAAGTTCATTACTCACGCGGCGAAGGTGTACGAGATGTTGCAAAATTTATATAAACCCAAGGAACCAGCGCGGCTTGTCATTAGACACACAAGCGGTCAGTCTGTGAAGGCACGCACATCACAGCTTCACCTTGCAATCGCTTCGCAGCGTGCTATTGAATTCGGTCGAAACCATTCATTCGTTCAGTGGAAACCGCAACAAATAAGTGACAGTTGCATTTTTTAATTTTTCTGAAAAGGCAAAGGGCGACACTTTTTTGTGACGTGCTTTTAGTTTTTTTAACCGATTTCGAAATTGGAATCGGTATGTGAACCTTTTTTGAAATTTGCAACGTGGTGTTATTGTCAAGAAACCTTTTTTTTTAATCGAAGTGATATTGTTTTGTGGACGTCGTCAGTTTAGTTGGACTAATCGAATCCGTGATTAACGGAACGAAAATATTCGTTAATAACGCGTCCGAATACACGGAATTCACAACAAATGGATGAATGTCATTAAAACTCAATAAATACGTGATTTACGTGATTAGTTGATGTGAAACATAGTTGGCTGTTATACAAGCGCATATCTTCTTAGTAGCCTGTGTTTAGTGTTCGATCAATTTAAACTGTATCGAGTTATCTTTTAAAAGAATAATTTAAGAAATAAAAATGAAAGACTTCGCTCAAATTTGGAATCGAGTGACGACTCGAAGGTACTCGAATGTGAACCTTGGTGATAGAGAATTGTGTGACTTATCAACGAATAGATTGAAACGATCGGATTTGAACACTTTTGAGTTGAATTTTGCTGAGTGTGAAGGTTTGAACAATAAATTTAACGATGACTTGGATTTCAATGAAAGACGGGACGCCATCATCAACAGACTGTTTGAGAGGCGGAAGAAGGGGCAAGTGGCGCGGCAGCCGAAATGTGAGTACCTACTTTTTTGAAATGCTTACATTGTCTATGGACAAGTGTTTTATTTTTTATTTTTGTCTTCAGCCAAAGTGTCGGTACTTAGGCTGTTTTCGTAATCATAAGGATCTTATGTAGAAAACAGTGTTGATGAAATATCTAAATAGACAAATTTCTATCAACCATTTTACTGTCTTTACTTACTATGATGAGACAACACTTAAACTAAAATCTAAGAAATATTGATCATCAGTTCTATTAAAGTTTGTTCGCATGACAACCACTGCAAATTTTGAAATATATTATTTATGAAATATATTTCGAGACTTTGTTTTTTATTTATCATATAGGTAAAAGGTTTCTGCTTTTGTAATGCCGCAATTACATTTGGTCGTTAGCTCGTGCAGATAGATAGATTCGGGTGCACGAAAGACATTACTTGAATTCGGGCACCCGAAACTATATTTACACTGAAATACGGGCTGGAAGACGGTGTCGGGTAAACAAAAGACAATCTACCCTAATACGGGCGTACTCGACTCCTTTCATGTACACTTAATCGTTTACCCCAATTCCATCGGGTACTCGTATTTGGGCTATTTCTTCTTCATACTACATTTATTGGAGGGGCTCGATGGCGCAAGTGGTTAGCGCGTTCGGCTGCGATCGTTGAAGTTAAGCAACTTTCGCAGTGGTCGGTTATAGGATGGGTGACCAAAAATTTACTATCTCGAGCTCCTCCGTACTTCGGAAGGCACGTTAAGCCGTTGGTCCCTGCTGCATCTACAGTCGTTAGCACCCACCAATCCGCACTGGGCCCGCGTGGTGGGTCATGGCCCAATCTCCCTATTCCATCCATAGGGAAGGCCTGTGCCCCAGCAGTGAGGACATTAATAGGCTGATGATGATGATGACTACATTTATTATTAAACTAAATAGAAATAACCTTAAAACTGCACTTCAAAAAAGTTTAAAAACGCTAGATTATAAAAATGCTGAAACTATTTTTAAAATAATAAGATAAACATTATAAGATGCACACACACACAAATACACACACATTCACACACATAAATACTCATAACAAACTCCTTTGGCTATTCTATTGAATTTATAACTTAAAGAACAGTTATAATTTTTATTATTTTAAAGCATGTACTTAACTGCTTGATGTTTAAATCTAAAGAAAATATAACTAGAAAAAATTCCACGCGGACCAGGCAGCAGACGGGACTTGAACCCGCACCCTTCGCAATCCGGGCGAATGTACTGACCAATCATGCTACCGCGGCCCTCACGGACCGCGTCGAAATTCTCCTAGCCATTTTTAAGCTGTAGTAACCCACGAAGTGAAATGATTCATTTGAGCTATAGGTTCGAGTCCCGTCTGCTGCCTGGCCCGCGTGGAATTTTTTCTAGTTATATTTTCTTAATCTGGATTAACAAATTTTTTACTAAATGGTACACAACTTTATGAATAGGGTGGATGGTTGATTACCTGAGACACAGGATTCATCCTAGTTCAAGTGTCAACCCACCATAATCTGAACAATACATACCTTTTATTTTTGGTAAGAAATTGCATGTTTTTATATCATTGTTTTTATGTAGCCATTAATACCAACAATGTGATCATTGTGATTATGGTGAGAGATAAAGGTTATTATTATTATTACTATATCCGTGGTTTCAACCCGCTCTCTTGACACACACGGGTGATCTAGATTCTTATAGTACGTACTGTAACGCCCGTTGCGTTACGGCCTCATTGCTTGTGTAAACTCTTTGCTCATGTAATGCCGACGGCTGGCAGTTATATTAAAAAGGAAATGCCATAATTTTAAAGATTTGAAATTGGGAATCTTTTGTCTTTTATGGAAGACTAGCGGCCCGCCCCCGCTTCGCTTCGGTGTAGAGCTGAAGTGTAGACTACAGTTTTTGTTCTCAGGCTTGTATTATACACAATGCACAATGGCAATTATCTATGATTCTCCTTATACTTGCATGCAAAGTCTCAGCCCGATCGGTTTAAAATTGACAAAGTTTCATACAAACTTTCATTCCCTATTTTAACCCCTAGGGGGTAGAATTGATCAAAATCCTTTCTTAGCGGATGCCTACGACATAACATCTATTTGCATGCCAAATTTCAGCCCGATCCGTCCAGTGGTTTGGGCTGTGCGTTGATAGATCACTATGTTAGTCAGTCAGTCACCTTTGAGTTTTATATATATGTAAATGAGGTTCATTACCCTTCATTCAATACAGACGGTAAAATAGTGAGTGACCATAGAAAAAGATATGGTTTTGACATCCGTCAATTAATAAATAAAATATAATATTTGTGCACGAAAAATTGTACGAAATAATAGCTATAAATGTTGTTTCTCATTTCTGAGCAACACAATTGTTTTATTTCGTAATTAAATCTATTTAGTTTATAAAACCTCATTATAAAACAACATTTTCTACAGCTATTTTACTACAATGGAAAAGTTAAAGTTTGAGTTTGTAGTGAAAGCAAGTGAGGATCCGAAAACCAATACAATCTGCATAATATCAATCACTGACACCAACAAATGCACCTTCTTACTACCGGAACATTTTCAACAGGCAAGATTGCATGATGCGGTAATAAAAACTCCAGCTTTTCAAAAAGTAAAAACTACACTACAAAAGAGACATGAAAAAAGACAGGTTTGGATCTCTATCACTCCAGAGATTCATGAAACCTACATAGATGAAGATGGAAACATGCAATTCGGAGGATATTTGTTACAAGAATTAACCCCAGAAACACAGGGTGCTACGGCTGGCATTACAGAAAAAGATTTTACAAGGATTATTGAAAGTTTTTCCGAAATGAAGAAGATTTCGCCTAAATCTAGTAATATTGGCAAGTTGAAGGAGCTGTTTGTAATAAATAAATTCACTCGAAAAACTTCAAATGTACCTCAATGGATGGATACTTTTGAAACAGAATGCACTCGTTTTGAAATAGAAGAGGATACTAAGAAAATTGAGGCCTTGAGATTATTTTTGGATGAATCATGTCTTGACTGGTATAACTCTATGCTAATAAAATATACAGTAGATTCGAAATGGTCAATGTGGAAAGAAAACTTTTGTGAAACATACATGGACAGAAGTTGGTCGCCGGTCAGGTATGCCATGTTGTTTAAATATAGACAAGGATCCCTTTTAGAGTATGCTGTAAAAAAGGAAAGGCTTTTATTGGAAATTAATAAATTGATAGACAAACCTACTATAATTGATCTAATTGCTATTGGACTTCCAAACTTTATAGCAGATAAAATTGATAGAAGCAATTTAAGTGATACAAGAGATTTATTTAGTAGTATTAGAAGTTTAGAACATTTGGTATATAAGAAAAGTATTGAGAAAAAAGGTTTTGATAATAAAGATAAAGATGGAAAAGATAGACCATGTAAGATTTGTGAACAAGGAAATAGGGGCAACCGGTATCACAGTGAATCCTCATGTTGGTTCAGAAACCGAAGTATGGATAAACCTCAAAGGGATCAGATAAGGCATGTCAATAATTCTGAATTAGAAATAGAATTAAACGAAATTAATCCAAAAAACTAGTTATTCCACCATTAATCAAAATCAAAGTATTATTAAATGACACCTTAGAAACTATGGGTATTTACGATTCAGGATCAAATGTCACTTTGATTAACTCGAAATTGTTGTCATTAAAGAATACCTGTGAAAATAATAGCTTTGAAAATGCGAACTTGAAAACGATTAATGGTGTAAAAAAGACTAAAGGAATAATTACAATAAAGATAAAGATTTTCGAGATTGAACAAAATATGAATGTTTTTGTAGTGGATGAAGAAAATTTTGATTACGACTTCTTGATTGGTTTAGATTGTATACAAAACTTTCATCTTATTCAAAATGATGAGTTAGAAGTAACTCAAAATATACGAAACTCGAAATTGAAATATAATAAAGATGAGATAAATAAGAAAAATACTTCTAAAATTTCGGGTAACAAGAAAAATATGAAAGACGGTATATTAAATAACAATATCAATAGTTTAAAAGAATCTACAAATAAAGACAATCATAAATATAAAGTAAACTTTAATGAACATATTGAAGAATATAATTTCAATATTTCAATAAATCATTTGAATATGGAAAATCAAGCAGAAATAGAAAAACTAATTTACAAATATAAATCTCTATTTGCTAAAGATAAATATGATATTGGTACTGTAAAAGGCTACGAAGCACACATTGATTTGTTAGTTGATAAATATTGCAGTAAAAGACCATACAGGTGCACTATTCAAGATAAAAAGGAAATAGAACAACAGATATCGAAATTATTAGAAGGAAATTTGATTGAGGAATCTTACAGTCCTTTCGCTGCGCCAGTAACACTGGCTTATAAAAAGGAAGAAGGAAAAAAATCAAGGCTTTGTATAGATTTCCGCGACCTTAATAAAATTGTAGTTCCTCAATCACAGCCCTTTCCACTAATTGAAGACTTAATGGTTAAGACTAGAAGATGCAAATATTTTACAACCCTTGACATAAATTCGGCATTTTGGGCTATTCCTTTAAAAATTGAAGATAGACATAAAACAGGATTTGTTACCCAAGACGGACACTTTCAGTGGACCTGCTTACCATTCGGCTTAAAAACATCGCCGGCAATTTTCCAAAGAATATTGAGTAGCATTATAAGAAAACATAAATTGACAGATTTTACTGTCAATTACATTGATGATATTTTGATTTTTTCAGAAACATTTAATAATCACATTAATCACCTATCATTACTGTTGGAAGCAATATCCGCAGAAGGTTTCAGATTAAAATTTTCAAAATGTAATTTTGCACAAAACTCTGTGAAATATTTAGGACACATAATACAAAATAATACAATTACACCTCTAAAAGATAATTTGATTGCGATAAAACAATTTCCAATACCAAAAACACAGAAAAACATTAGACAGTTTTTGGGAAAAATA